TGGCCTGCGGGGTCTCTATGGCCCAGCAGTTGCAAAGCAATCCCTCGGTGGAGGATGTACGCTTCACGAACTCCCTGGCAAGGCAGGCACTACAACACGGAGATGAGGCCGTCGTCCTCAAGAACCTCGACCTCAACAAGCTCCTGGTGACCGTGTACCACGATGCCGGATGGGGAAATGCACCCCCTCCAGGAGACGATCCCTACTTCCGCCTCTACACCTCGGACGAGGAGAGAGGCCTTATTAGCACGGGGCCCTGGGTGAGCAAGCAGCGAAAGGCCAAGCGCCGCAACTCCAAGGTGGCCTCGCAATTGGGATGCAGTTCACGGAGGTGACGGCAGCCCAAGGAGAAGTGCGTCCTGCAAGTGTTGTGGAATGGAAGTCACATGCTTGTGACCGAGTCTGCCGCTCTACCTTTGGCGCGGAGACGATGGGATGCATCGAGGGCATTGAGCTCGGGCAGTACGTGAAAGCACTGATGTCATCCCTTCTGACGGGACGGCTCCACCGGAAGTCCGGAGAAGAGTTCCCCCTGGTGGCACTCACAGACTGCCGCTCCCTGTACGACCACTTCCACAAGGATGGCTTGCCACGAACGCCGACCGATCGTCGGCTCGCCATCGACATCGCATGCCTACGACAGGCCTTCAAAGAGGAGCTCAAGGGCAACGAAGATGACAAGGCACCGCTCGTCTGGGTGCCGACCGACTTGCAACGAGCCGATCTTCTCACGAAACCCCGAAAGCCAGGAGATTGGTGGAGAATGACAACTTCTTTGACTATTCCCGTGAGAGAGAAGATGATTTTTGATCAATGTAAATCTGAAGTTGTCTGCGAGTCGACAGTGCATTCAAGCTCGCGTCTTGCTAGCATGTACAGTAGCTGAAGCACTGATGTCACGCTCGTTGCCCGGAGGCTCATGAGTCGCTTTGTGCGTAAAAGGCCTGCGCGCCTCTTCCGGTAGATTTAGAGGGTCTTTGGGGTCTCGGAGATACGGGTTAGGAGGTACTCTCGGAAACTAATGTCTAATCCGATTCAGCTCTCAGCGTGCATCACGGCCCTCGAAGATGATCCTAACGACTCTGTTCTTTTGCTTTCGAGGTTGTGAGGGCACAAGTTCAAAACAAGACTCGGATAACATGCTCAAGCCTTCATTCTTGCCTGCAAGAAGATCTTACAACTACGTCACTGCAACAAGTGGAAAGACTCCCGAAATCCCTGGAAGCTTCAGTATTCCCCTAAACTATCGCAAGCCCGTGACTCGGCCTGGTCTGGACGAGCTGCTTGCCCATCTGCTGAAACTCCTACAGCAGGGTTTGTCAAGGGGGTCTGCACTTGATCTTCACGTTGCTTCCAACGCCTGCCAAAAGATCATGTACGAGAATATATATATATATAGATAGATAGATAGATAGATAGATAGATAGATAGATAGAATACATTGTATATATAGTATACCTTATGAAATACCCTATAGAATGCCCCATAAAATACCTTGTACCCGAAAGAGACCCTATAGACAAGGCAAGGATTTATATGATAAATTAGGAGGAGCCCAAGATCTTGTAGCTTATTGAGAAAGGGGTTTCTATGAAAAAATGAGGAATAAACGAGAATTGCCTGTAGAATACCTTACACAATACCCTTTCTACACACCTAAAGAATTGTTCTAAAAATGCGGTAATATCGATAGACTGCCCTCTATATGCCCTGTCTATACCTTGTTGAATAACAGGGCTTTCGGATACAGGGCTGAAAGCCTGAGTGGTTTCAATCTCCTACAGGGTTTCAGCGCAATGCCGCAGCGAGGCATGCTAACGCGCGCAACGGATCAGAATAAGGTTCTACAATGTTCTACGGGACTTGCGCAGATGCAACACGGAAGACCGGCATGTGCAGCTCCATGTCTATGGCAGTCCATGGACTGTTACCGTTTACGGGGCCTTAAATGCTCCGATGTGCTGGTGGCTCCTGCTGGTCGAAGCAGTTCCAACTCAAGTCCAGTGATGTGATGCTGATGCTGCCGACGAGACGTCCTGAGATGCATCCGGCTCCGGTAAGGCGATGCCGGCACCACCTATGATGAATGTTTTTCAATATGGATGACCTTGCCAGAAGACAGAACCACAGAATCCAAGATCCCGAAACAGACGTGGCTGTGAACCCACAGCGCTTAAAATGTCAGGCTGCTCACACACTCAGCAGCCCCGCAGCTGCCTCTGAGGACTTTGGGGCTCGAGGCGGGGCGCCGAAATGCTTGCCAGTTTCGAGGTTCATCAAAATCAAGTCAGCCCAACAGATACGAGGACCTACTGGCGGCTGCAACATGGCAGGAGTGTGCTTACCTCGGCCCGACATACCAGGGACTTCTGATGAACATTTCCGAAGGATTTCCAATGAAAAACAAGACTGAAGCAAAGCACCATCTGCGAATCTATCCCTTCTCGCAGAGCATTTGTTTGCGGCATCTGTTCCGGAGAGGGAGGTTGACACTTTGCGAGGTCCAAAAGGTGCAGCTTGAGCTCCAAACTCCGAGCAGATTGCGCCTTAAACTAGAAAGATCTTAAAATATGAGCCGCAAAGCTTTACAAGCACGATGGACTCTCTGTACTCAGCCAACACAAGGCAAGAACCAGGCCTCCAAGACCCACACCGACCAGAGCCACTGTCTCAAGGGACTGCGGCGCGCTGCGGACGCTTAGGGAGGGGTTTCCCAGCGTTAGACCGTACTTCCATGTTCCAAGCCGTCAGTTTCGCCTTGTCTAATGTGTTGGATGCCAGATCTCCGTTTATTCAGTGTGCAAGAACAAGTGTCACAAGACCAGCAACTACACGGCCAGCACCTTCTGCCTTACAAGACGGGTGCTTCAATGCTGTGAATCCTCTAGGACGCCGACCTGGTGACTGCCGAGCCCCATGCAAAGTGGCAGTTGCAACTTCACGGCGAGATTCAGGCCACTCATGTCCTGGAAACCACAAGTGTCATGGCTTTTCGGGCTTCCCCAACTGGTTCACGGACTTGAGCTTGGGGCTCCGAGGGTCAAACAGAACAGCCGCGAAGGCCGCAAAACAAGCATGGATGTTTTGCCGTTCTGTGTCCTGTTCCGTGAAAACTCAATACAAGCAGACAGTTGACAAAAAGACAGAGAGGCCCATGTACCACTCAGAAAGACGCGTCCTCTACCAAATAAAGTGTGGAGCGTTGAAGCGGTGCGCAGACTTGGAACCTTCGGGCCTTCTGTCTTAAGAATCGAACGCCTTGGACAAACGACTACACCCGACCCGCTATCTTGCAGAGTCTGACGAACAGAAGTTCACAAGAATGCAAAAATCTCTCAATTCCTGCAGCCGACTTCGACAAGCCGTGAACTTCTCCCCTGAAACCTCTAGACTTAACTCTACGCCTTCCTTGAACCCGCGATGTGCAAATGTTGCACTAAACATTCTCTAAGATGCTCAGAAGCCCCAGATAACACAAAGCTATCCCAAGACTCTGCCACTCCCAGGGCGTAACATCTCCCAAGGCTTGCATCAACTGAACCTCAAGTCCCTGAGGTTGCGGCGACATGCTTTAAGTTCATGGCCACTGCCAGAAGCCTGGCTCAACAGGCAGCTGGACTTCTTTGGATGTCATGAGCCATTCAATGTTTCTTGATGGCCACAAGCGTTCCTATACACAGTTGAGAGCAATGCCATGTGCAAAAGGGTGTTTCCCGACTTGGGAACGGCCATGAAGACAAGAAACACTAAACACCGGAAGGCTTTCATTGCATGTCAGACTAGAGCAGCACGAGTGGACACAGACCGGATAGCAACAGACAATGTGGACACGCATCATTGAGACAACCACAGGAAACAGTATCGGACAGCAGTACTCATAGGAAATGAATTGGTAGCTACAAGTACGGTAGTGGTGAATAGTGGCCCAAACATAATAACGACCCCGGGATAATCACTATGGTGCTGACTATGGTGTAAATCACAAAGTGACACAGCAAGATCGCTACAAGTGACACCACAGCAATGGAAGTGCTTATCGCCATGGTAGTCAACGACTTAGCCATAAACTCATACATGCCCACCGCCACCACGACCAGGATTCACTGCCGGGCATAATCATCACGTCGATCAACATCATGTTCATCTTCATCATCGTTTGTCCTCAACATCCTACAAGATCAGCATGATCATCATTATCAAAGTCACATGCAGCGGCGGCTGCATCACTCACCACCATCCTGAAACAGGCCTGACAGCAGAGTGGGTTGGCAGACTGATGCCAGCAGTACTGTGAGCAGTGTTCACGGCGCTACGACCCGCTACTGCCTCCACCACTGCGACTACTGCACACATCACATCAGGAAGGCTGGGTGATGCGAAATGAGTGTGTGTGTGTGCAAGAAATTAACAGCAGGAACCAACCAATTACTGCTACTACCAATACAACATATTGTGTGTCACGACGACGACGACAAGAGCGACCACACTAAGAATCCTGTTTCACAGGCCGGGCAGGCTCCACGCACATGTCCAGCGTGGCGCTGCCCACGCGACAGCATTGGCGAAAGTTGATTCTTCGCACCGACTCCTTGGTCACCCGGAGATTACAAGCTTCCCATAATTCCCCCGTCATCATCTTGACCACCCCCCCCCCACTGGGCCGAGGCTCAAGCTCAAATCATCACCGCTCAATTGGAGGCTGCCAGGCTTTCGGTCTGCCGATGCTACTAGCAGTACTTGGGCTAAGTGCACCCAGATGAAGGAAACTGTGACAACCTCGGGTCCACCCGGTTAAGCCGAGGCACCCTCATGTGTGGCTCACGCAGCTTCCGCATCAAGGGTGCCAGGGAGACGTCACTCACCTCGCGGAAGACAGCGTGTTGCTAGGGGATCTGGACTAGTGCAACCGTCAGAACATCACGGACACGAGAGCTCAAGGCTCATGTCGGCTTCGGGTTCCTGGTTTGGCAGTGGTTTAGGAATGCGGCCCTGATGTCGAATAATGTACAGTTGGGGGAAGGTGAAGGGACGAGCCGTCTAGGGTTGGTTGTACTTGACCCTGCGCCGAGTCTGCAACCACAACCCCCCAAGCTTCATCGCTAAGAAGGCTGAGAGGAAAATTCTGAATGATAAGAACAAGAGTAAATGGGCGACGCAAACAGAACAACAGCACTGTGATCCACGACTGCGAATAACGGAATTCTTTCGTTGGGGCTTCTGGCCTTGCTCGGTGCTTAAACTCCTCTGGACTGTTGGGCTCCTATTTGTCCTATTTCCCAAAGCCTTAGGACTCTTCAAAAGGTTCAGGGCCACTTGTCCGGATCCTGAAGCCCACCAGACGTCATGAGCCCACGAGGGGCACCACTGAACAAAATTGCTTATAAGTCAAAAAAAAGCAAGATCCATAGTATCCATAGTAACTTAGTATCTTGACCCTGAGGCCGAGGCCAGGCGATTGTTTTCCTGGGCAGGACTCTATTGCGAGGCATGCGCTGTCCTAGTTCGACGGGGGGTGATTGTTGCCCAGGCAAACGCGCTGGCTGACAGTAACCGGTTGAAAAGGCAGGAAGGACAGAAACTGCATATTGATCTTGAGGCAAGGACTCATGCGCACACCTGTAACTCGGCTCTCCCTAGCTCCCAGCCGTACAGAAGTTTGCGACGCCCTCGCCACCACCCCACAGTCTTGCAAACCCTGAGAGCCACTTCGGCAAGGACCAATTGACGCTATCGCGGAACCTAAGCCCTGACCCTCAGAGGGACAAGACTGGGGCCCTGGCAAGGTCGAGGTCCTCCACCTGTCGTCCGTCGTCCAAGACGTGAAGCAAGGAAAGGAGCTGTGCCTCGTTGAGATTACAGGCTCTTCTTGTAGTCGGGCTCACGACGTAGACTCGGGCGACTGTACAAGGAGTTCCACAAATCCACGACGAATCTGAGTAAGTGCAGGCTGAGCTCGATTGTAGTTAAGTTTAGATTCTAGATGTCAGTCTAGATGTCAGTTACAGTGTCCCACCTTCAGGCCCAATCTTATCTGCATTATGCTGCAATGCCCCGCCGAACCTCTACGAATCATGCTTACAACTCGACAGTTGTCTCGCCGCCGTTGCTTGCCAAATCGCCCCGAGAGAACGACACGGCTCGAGCTCAAAGACACAGCACAGTGGCGAAATACAGAGCGAGCAGTAAAGCAGGAACTCTCTGGGAATCGGAACGACGGATTGATTCCACCAACGTGCCAAACTGTTCTCTCACCGCCGTTGCCGTGCCACAAGGCCTGGAAAAGAAGTAATGCCGCAAACCCATCCCCAAGATCCAAGAGTAAAGTAGCCCTCGACCGAAAAATCTCACCTGGCAGAGCAGCATGCTTTCAGCACCCTAGTCCCAACACTGTGGCCTCTGTCATGCCCCTCGCGTCCAGCTTCTTGGACCTTACAACATGGAAGCCCTCGCCAGCTCGAGGGTTTAATTCTTTGGGTTAGGGTTAAGGAACAAAAAAAAGGGTGCAAGGCTTTCGTCCCCTGCCGCTGGAGCTTTAGCCCTGCAGCCTTTGGTAATTTCACACACCCCTCTACTATTTGAGTCGTCGAACAACATATGCATGATGCACGACAGCCTGGACACGGAGATAGGAGTTATGCATCCTCCCGGCGTCCTTGTCATCGTCATCGATGAAAGCTGACTGTCTAAACATCTTGCTGACTGCTTCATGCAGTCTTGGCCAGGAATCCTCACCAAACTCACCTAAGCCTACCAGGACATGTTATGCCTTTGAGATGTTTTTTCTTAAACTCGCTCTGTCTGGCCGCACTTCCCTTCTGAGAACTGTCCCACACTTCGTAGATTGAACCATGGAGTGAGAACAGTGCGCTCGAAGCTGACCGGCCTCAACCTTTACGCCAGCCTGCGAACAAAAAAAGCCTTCCCGGTGCCTTCGGTATCCCTTCACCATGCAGCGTCAGTCATGCTTCGTGGAGGGAAGCAGAATAACTTGCATGCGTGCATGTGATACGTACAAGTATGTCTGTCTGTCTGTATGTATGTATGTATAGATAGATAGATAGATAGATAGATAGATAGATAGATAGATAGAGAGATAGACAGTAGATTGAGAGTTAGACAGTAGACAGACAGACAGTAGACAGACAGACAGACAGACAGACAGACAGACAGACAGACAGACAGACAGACAAACAGATAGATACATCTGTACACAGCCGCATGCATGTGTCTACATATGTGTACATACCCACGTGTATAGGTATGTGTCTACAAGTACGGATGTGGATATGTGTGTGTACCTGCAGATAATGTAATGTATATGCAGTCGCATGTGTATTGTATGTATACTTATGGACTTATTTATACGTGTACACATGCCTGTATGTGTGTGCAAGCGCGTATATGTATGTATGGCAAGTATGCATGTCATCAAGCTTGCATGAATGCATGTATGCATGAATGTATGTATTTGCATATCTATGTAAGCATATGCAATGGCACACCCGTCTGCCAGACTGCATGTCTGCGGGCTGGTAGGCTGCAGGTGTGTACAAAGATACGTAAGTACATCCTGCAACGGTAATCAGACAGTCAGAACATCTGCTCACTCGATCTATCCTGCCGGGGCCCTGCACTGCATGCCAAGAGGCCCCCCCTCCACGAAGGAGGATGGGACGGGGACGGTGCACCTGTTGCGGCCTCGGATTGCTTGCGAGGCTCAGAGAGGTTTAAGGCTAGTTGGATGGGGGGTTGGATTATTTACAAGGGAATCTAGTGTGTCTGAGAGGTCTGAGGTCATAACGCATGTATCTCATATAACGAAACGCAGAGGAGCCGGTCTTGACGTGTTGTATCAGGGCCTTTCCTGCAAACAGGGGGAAGACTTTGGTAACCTTCGCTAACTTCTCATGTCGGCAAACGCCAGCCTGTATGCACACGGGACTTCGTGCTACAAGTTTTCATCCAGCTAACGTGGACTCATGTTAGAAAATTGCCTGGAAGCCGGAAGACCGAAGCCCCATGTCTCAAGCACAACTACAGCGCCTCCGATAAGCAATCAGTATCAAGAGGAGGTCAAACTTCAGGACAGGATTCGTGAAAGGTGCCCGCCTAAGAGCTGTCAGATGAGGCACAAGAGGACCAGTGCAGAACAGACTGATGTTTCGGGATTCGGATCGAGAAATCCGCAAAACGCGTAGCCCCCGGAAGCTTCAACCCGAACGACCTGAACTCTATCAGTATCTGCAGCCCTGACACCTGTCCTACAACCTGATTGTCTGACGTTCCCTGACTCCGAATCCGGGCCGCAGGTCGATCGATAGCGATCTTCCAGTGTCGGCAGCTTGCCTGAGAACAAAATGTTTCGGTGAAAAGGGCCTCGGCGTTTTATCTGGAGGTTGCAGGGGTTTAAGGCACCGGGCGCGGCTAAAGGTGAAGGCAGCTGTGGTGGTGGTGGCAGTAGTACAAAGTAGAAGTTGGAAGAGGGAGAGTCGTAAGACCACTTGGAATAGTTGCAGTAGCAGTAGCAGTAGCAGCAGTAGCAGTAGTAATAATAGCCGTCGTAGTAGTAGTAGTAGCAGCAGCAGCAGCAGTAGCAGTAGTAGTAGTAGTAGTGGTAGTACTACTACTACTGTTAGTGGTAGTAGAAGTAGCCGTAGTAGTACTTGTAGTAGTAGAAGTAGCAAGAGCAGTTGCAGTAGCAGTAGCAGCAGCAGGAGCAGGAGCAGGAGCAGGAGCAGGAGCAGGAGCAGCAGCGATAGCCGGAGTAGCATTGGCAGCAGCAGCAGCAGCAGCAGCAGCAGTAGTTTTAGTAGTAGTAGTAGTAGTAGTAGTAGTAGCAGCTGTTGTTGTTGTTGATACAGTTGTAGTGGGTGGTAGTAGTAGTAGTATTATTATTAGTAGTAGTAGTAATAATAATAATAGTAGCAGTAGTGGGTCGCAGTAGTAGTGGGTAGCAGTAGTAGTAGTAGTCGTCGTCGTGGTGGTGGTGGCGGCGGTGGTGGTGATGGTCGTCGTCGTCGTCGTCGCTGCAGCAGCAGCAGCAGCAGCAGCAATTGTATTGTCAGTGGCTGCAGCATCAGCATCACCATCCAAAACAGCAATCGCAATTGCTGCGGCAACGGTAGAGATGTCCTGAATCCTGTGATTGTCATGCGTGTGCCTGTTGCCACGATGTTTCAGTCCCTTCACGGCATGTACAAATGTTGCAAAGGTCGCTGTGAACCGTGGTACTATTTCGACCTTTCAGAATGTTGTGTTGGCCTGGTGTTCCAACAGAAGGACGATGGCGAGCCAGGAGAGGTGTTGCAAGACATTGGGCACGGCAAACGAACGAAAAGACCTGGCGTCTAAGCCCTTGACTGGAAATACTACGTACGGCCTACAACACACCCCACAACCTCAACCAAAAAACACAAGCAGGAAAGGTATGACTTTCGTCGGGATGCCTCGGCCGCCACTGCGGGAGCCGGAGGGGCTGAACTCGCCGAAGGTCTGCCATCAGATTCACAGTAACCACATTCCCAAAGTTCCTTCTCAAACAGGAAATCTAGCATGTAAGTACTCACCAGATTTTTTGCAGCGTACTTTCATACCAAGGGCGGCTGTTGTCGTTGTTGCAGCTATGTCAATGTCTACGCAAGAATATCACCAACGGGTCGATATGGCGCGAACAGCCTTGATTTAAATTGCACATCATGCAAACAGGATTGACGAAAAAGGTCCAAGAGCCTTCGTCGTAGTTACAATAGTAGTAGCACTGGTAGCAGTACTGGTTGTAGTAGTAGAAGAAGTAGCAGTAGCAGCAGTAGTTGTAGTAGCTGTAGTAGTAATGGTG